CAGGCTTCTTCAGCTGGGAATTCTCTGGGCTGTCGGGATGCAGGGCAAGTCCCCAGGGGAAAATTACTAATCTTAGCAAATGGAATGCGGTCCAAGCGAAAGGGAATGCCGCCTGGGAGAGGATCTAAAGGTCAGTTTCCCAGGGGGAGGGGGATAGCCATTCCATTATTGATCAGACCTAACATAAAGGGTTTTAAGCAGGTCCTGCGCAGTGAGCTGAAACCCAGGCCATCAAAAGCCTGGCAGGGGCCCTGGCTGGTTTGGCTCAATGGATAGAGCGTAGGCCTGCAGACTGAAGGGTCCCAGGGTCGGTTCCGGCCAGGGGCACATGCCCCGGGTGTGGGCTCCATCCCCAGTGGGGGGCGTGCATGAGGCAGCTGATCAGTGATTCTCTCTCATCGCTGATGCTTCTCTCTCTCTCTCTCCCTCTCCTTCCATCTCTCTCAAATGAATAAATCATTTTTTAAAAAAGCTTTGCACCCCACGAACAGTTCATCTACCTTGGAATGTCTCAGCTCGAACACACGGAGGGTGTAGCCTGAAGACGCGGTGGTGTCTTTCGCCTGAACTTCTACGTCTCCGAATGTTTGCTTTCCTTCTCCCCAGTACTGAGCGCAGGCCTCCTGGGTGAGAAAGAACACGGTTCTGCAACAACGTCTACACCAGCGTCCTCGTCTCCCTCCGTCTCCCTCCGTCTCCCTCCGTGCGCAGGCCTCCTGGGTGAGAAAGAACACGGTTCCGCAACGTCTACTCCAGCGTCCTCCGTCTCCCTCTGTCTCCCTCCGTCTCTCTCTCTCCTCTCGTTCCCTTCCCCCTGTTCCATTCAACGGAAAGGACTAATTGTGTTCTGACCCTGAAGGCCGAAAACTTTTAAAACTCTAACACCTACGTTAAGGACGGTGGGCACCCATTCAACCAGGCGTGGCGCTTCCCTGTGTGGGTCACTGGCCCCTGGGAATACCCGGGGGAACCAGGACACACGGCACAGCCCTGCCGTCTCTACTGTCGGACGTTGGCCTTCCTTCTTCCTGTCCATGCCCTTGTCATCGGCTCTTCCCAGTGCGTGGCCTGAGCTGCTGTGGGTCATGACCTTGCCATAAGGCAGGTCTCCCTGCCCCTCCCGGGGCCCCCGGAGGAGACACTCCACGTCTTTGGAGCTTCGTCTCTGCGTCTGATGAGCAGCTCCCTCGGCAGTTTGACAGACGCGGACTGGACATCTATCTACAGGGTCGGACTGAAGAGGGGGGTCCTCTCTACAGATGGTCCTCCACCAACTACCTTCCCCCAACGATGGGCACAATGGGCAGCCCTGCCTGCACGCCCAGGCCACTGACAATTTAGGCGAAGGAAGAGGTTGCTGCAAATGTAAACATATATCTCTTTTTAAAAAATCCCACAGCCCGGCCGGCGTGGCTCAGTGGTTGAGCATTGACCTATGAACCAGGAGGTCACGGTTTGATTCCATGTCAAGGGCACATGAGGTTGCGGGCTTGATCCCCAGTGTGGGGCGTGCAGGAGGCAGCTGGTAATGATTCTCTCTCAT